TAATTTGTGAATGATAAATTATTTTTCTGATTATATTTATATCTTAATATTAATCATATGATTGGAAATTACATAATTGATTGAATATAATAATGATTACTAAATTTAAAAATACTACAGATAGATATGAAATATGATGGCTAACATCATATATATGACACAAAATCATATGACACAAAAATTGTATAATTATCATCGGATACAGTCAATTATTATTTAATATATATCACATAATTTAGTATAAAGTAATTAGTAGCATATGTAAAAATCCTGTATCAAACTTCAGTAATGTTATAATGAGATTTTTACTATTAAATTTATTATAATGAGAGAATTTTACTATTTCAAAAATAGGAAAAACCAGAATATCTTTGATATAGCAAAAATTCAGTATAACAAGATTTGGTATAATAAGATTCAACTGTATAATTAATTATAATTAGTTATAAAGTTTATTTAAAATTTTTAATATATTATAATATATAATTATAATATATAAAATTATTTATTTTTTTAAGTTATTATAAATATAAAATAATTTTCTTTATAAGATATTTATTTTTTTATTATATATATTTAATTAATAATTTATTATATTTATAATTATTATTTCTTTATTTATTTTATATTATTAATTATTTGTTAGTATTTTTTAAATATATTATTAATTAATTTATATATTTATAATTTATATATTATTAAATTATTATTTAAAAATATTTTTTTATTTATAATTCAATAAGTATTTTAATAATAATATTTAATTAAACTATAAAGTAAATTTATATTTAGTTAAATATTTTATATAAAATTTATTTTAAATTTTATATATATAATAAGATATATTATTTTTTATATTATATTTATTTAAATAGCTTTTAATTTATACTTATTTAAAATATTATAAAATTTAATATAATTAATTTTTTAAAAATTTATTTATATTATATACTAAATAATTTTATATTTTTATAATTATTATCTAAATATTTATCTAATTATAAAATATAAATAATTTATATTATTATTAATTATTATATAAAAAAATAAATAAAAAACTAAAAAATTAATATATTTATAACTTAAAATATTAATAAAATTTTTATATATAATTTAAATAAATAATTTAATAAAAATTTATTTATTTTATTATTTTTATTTAGTTATTATTATTATATTTAACTTTTTATTATATAATAATTCTAATTGAATACTTATAAAAAGTTTATAAAATATTTTATTATCAAATAAATAAATAAAATTATTCAAATAATAATTTTAAATTTAGTAATTATAATTTTATTAATAAAATTAAAATATTAAAATACAGTTAGATTTCTTTATAATTATATTTTTTTATAGTTATCTTTTTTGAGATTTTTAGTTATTAATTAACTATAATTAAAAATCTTTTTATATTCATATCTCTTTTTGGTTATCTAATTTTATTTTTTAAGTATAATAATTATAGAGAGATTTAATTATACTTATAATAATAAAAAAATTTAATAGATTTAATTAATTCATTATTAGTAAGTTTAATTATAATAAAAATAATATTAAGAAAAGTAATAATATTTCAAATATATAAAATATAAAAATTATAATTTTAATATTTAGAATTTTATTTATTTTAATATTATTTATTTATTTTAAATGAATTTATCATAAATTTTAATTATTATTATTATTATTATTTAATTAATATTATTATAACTATTATATTAAAGTTAAATATCTAAATTATTTCAAATAATTTTGACTATTATTTTAAATTTTAGAATTATAATTTAGATTATTAATATTAAATTTTTATATTTAATTTTATTATATTTAAAATTACTATTATATATTAATAATTAATTTTTAATATAACTTATAATTAATTATTCATATTATTTTTTATAATAAATAATGAAAATGAATAATAAATTTTTAGTATATAATAATAATAATAAATAATAATAATAATAAAAAAATAATTAATATTGAAAAATCTTGATTTTTAATTTGAAAAATTTTATTAAATTTAAAATTTTAATTATAAATTATTAATTATAATTTAGAATTATTACAGATTATAAAATATAGATTAAATAAAAGTCTGAAATTGAAATAATTTTAAATAACTATTATATAATAAGAAAAGATTTAATTATAATATATAATAGTATATTAGAAACTAAAATCTCAAGCTTTAAACAAATAAAAAAATTAATATCAAATCTAATTAATACTTATAAAATTACAAACTTAAAAATTTTGAGTATAATGAAATTATCAATACTTGAAAGTGTGATTTATCTGAAAAATAAATTAGAAATATTCTGAGAATAATTCAAATCTACTATTTATAATATTATTAATAAATACAAAAACTTTAATCATACTATAGTTATTTTCTAAAGTAATAGATTATCAAAATTAGATAATAGAGTCTGCTTAAAGATTAATTAATATAATTAATAACAAGCAATTACTAAAATTACTGAAAAATTTAATACTGTTATAATTATAACTGTTAATAAAAGAATTATATGATATGCTCTTCATGAATCTGGATTTTTTTGATTAGGCTGGAACAAGAAAATCTTATATATCTAAGGAAAATTATTAAAAATGATTAAATGATATATAGAAAGAAAAGATTGAATTAATGAATGAGAATTAATAATTTGGAGTAATGAATCAAGATATTTAATATTCCAAAATAATTTCTAGCAATAGATTTGATGTTAATTACATGAAAAATATGATATTAAATCTTCTTCTTACTAGAAAATTGGGTAATCAGTGAGTAATAAGTAATAGTATGGAGATTTTTTACTCAAAATGTACTTGGATCTTTAATTAAAATTGAGGGTGAATTACTGATATGAAGTATATGAAAATAATGTAACAGAATCTTCTGTCATTTCTGATGATTTCTTGTTCATCTTTTTCAAGCTGACAATATTTCAGTTCACAGATTTGGTCCAGCTAGTCAAGAGAAAGAGGAAAATTTAATTACTTCATTTACATGATCTGCCCAAAGCCCTGATCATAATCCAATTGAGCATTGTGAAATGTTTTGGAAAGATGAATTCGTAAACGTTCAAATCATCCCAAAAATTTGAAAGAATTTATGGATGCACTTGCAGAGGAATGGGAAGCAATTGAATCGAAAATTTTAAGAGTTTCGGTTGAAAGTATGCCGAGAAGAGTGGAAGCTGTAATTGATGCAAATGGGAATCCAACACGATATTAAATAAATAATATATTTTTTATTATAGAGAAGTCGATAATATAGATCACAAATTTCACGATCTAGATTGCTGATCATTTCCCGATTCCAGACTTTTGTCTACTTGTATTTTGAAAAACGTGTTTCATTTATCCGATGACTGGTCTGGTGCAACCGTACTGATAACAATAATGTACAGTAACGCCCGACTTGCAATCAACATCAAATTTAAAATATAATTTCGATTTATTTTATTTTTTCATAACATACATATAAATTTTATATGTATTTCATATTTAATTATAATTTAATTGGCCCTCCTTTTGCCTCCAATACTACGTTAATCTTTCTTGGCATTGAGTCAATAATCTCACTAGGAATATAGACATCAAATTTCGACCACTGCTCTTTTAAAGCCATTTTGAGCTCGTCCACGGTTTTTGGGAAGTTTTCGTGCTTTTGGATATTATCCTTTAGCAGTTTCCAAATATTTTCTATAGGGTTAAGATCGGGGAAATTCGCTGGCCAATCCATAATTTCGATTTTCTTTTCCTCGAACCATTTTGTGACTTGGCCTGCGGGATGGATCATTATCCTGCTGAAACATTATTTTTCCTCCCATTAATCTACGAATTATTTTATGAAATGGTAAAGATGAGTTTCTAAAATTCGAAGATATGTGTTTGCATTAATTTTTTCTTTGTATTCATTACAAAATATTAACGGTCCTTTCGTTTCTCCTGCGAAACATTCCCATACCGTTACTAAGTGTCGACCACTTTCGAAAGTGGGTGTTAAGCACTCCACATTAAACCTCTCACTCATATTTCGCCATACTCTTATTTGTCGTGATTGTTTTCCGATCGCCACATTCGATTCATCCGAAAAAATGATCTTCCTCCAATCAAAGACAGTTTTTTTTGCACCAAGCAACACGCGCAATTGCTTTTCCGCTGCAATATAAGATCGAATTCCAGAGTCATGCAGCACATTTATAGCAGTTGACGAACTGCAGCTAAGGTTTAAACTGTTCACAATTTCGTGTAATGGCTCACGTCGCATCTTGGTGACTCTTCATTTAAGTGCATATTTTGTTTATTGTTGAGAACTTGCGGTCTTCCGGACCATGGTAATTATCAATTTTTTTAGTGTTCATATACTTGGCAATAAATCGTGTTCATTTTTTCTTGCAATTTGTTCAGCGCTCATATTTTCCATATTCGTGGTATTGGGTTCATTTTTTCTTGCAATTTGTTCAGCGCTCATATTTTCCATATATGCTAGTATTTTTCCCTTATCCGTGTCAGTCATATGGGTACGTGTGGATGACATAATTACATATAATACTATTTATTACATGTATAATGTTTTGATGAAGTTGACGGGATATGTTTAAAGTTATCGTTATTGTTACACATACAAATCGGGTGTGGCGATTGTACATGTACGAGAAATCTTTGATCTGTAAAACCTATAACCATCTGTAATTGTTGCAGGTAATTACAGTAGTTTTACAGGTGTTTACAGAGGCACTGTAATCCGTTACAAATTAAAAGTGTCTACACAAAATCCCTCTTGGCCTGAAAATCGAAAATTAGCAATTGGTCTACAAAAAATTTTGGTATATGCAAAAATTTGTAATCACCTGTAATTTGTAACGAATTGCAGGATTTTACGGGGGAAAAAACCTTGTAAAATTTACAGTATGATTTTCTTATAGGGAACGATTAATACTTATATATTCAAGAGACTCCATTCAAGATTTAATCGCAGAAAAATGGGTGGTTGTTGCTCTAGACGTTATTTTGAACGGGAGGATGGAGCTTTGAACTACCGTATTATCGATGGTAGACGATATCATAATCTTTCGAATTCAGTGTATTTTCTCGCAAATGATGATGAAGAAGCCTATCGTTTAAGTAGATATCATGAGGGTAAAAAATTTTTGCTTTAATTCGTGTTTCATATATAGAAAACTTTATAAATCTATAAATGAAAATTTTAGTAATAAAAGATATTTGGGGAGGACTGTTTAATTCACCTGTTGAAGAGAAATTGAGACAAGGAGCTCGTGTTATTGATATTGGGTATGTATTGAGCTATATTCTCTTATAAATATTTAATCTTAAATATGCTACTACATGTATATTTTTAATAAAAAGATGCGGATCTGGATTATGGATTTTGGTAAACAGAGTTTATTCCATTATTATTATTAGATATGCTACTTTTTAACTCAATATATTAATTCGTAAAAATAGGATATGGCAAACCAGTATCCTAATTCCAAATTTATAGGAATAGACATATCTCCAATACATCCAACAGAAAGTCTTCCTCCAAATGTGAAGTTTGTTCAATATAATGTGTTAGATGTATTACCATATGAAGATTTTTCTTTCGATTTAGTTCACGCAAAATTCATGGTTGCTGCTTTTACGGAAACACAATGGGAAGAGAAATTTATTCCAGAAATGATAAGGTTAGCTCGGCCAGGTGGGTGGGTCGAGATCCTAGAAGGTCTTCCTGTTGAATCTAATGGAAGCGTTACAAAGAGAATTATGAAAGCTAGTAAGTAAAGCAATATTAATATCTTTAATTAATAGTAGTAAGATTATTAAATATTTATTATTTTTTTAGCTCGTGCTTTTATGATATCGAAGGGAATGAACCCTACAATTGGAAAAGAAATTCCGCGCCTTTTTGAAAGCACAAACGCGTTTTCAGAAATCAGAACTCAACAAAAAATTATAAATCTTGGTAAAAAACATGGTAAATCTGGGGAAGAGGTAAATATGCACCTGACGAATTTATTCATAAAAATTAACATCAAATGCTTTCTCTAATATAAATACTCTTTCTATTTACTTCATTCAAAGTCTCTCCAATTTTATACTCGCGGTCTCAACTCTATTAAAGGCTTTATAACAACTTCGATGAATGTAATGCCCGAACATTATGATGCTCTCGTAGAAACAGTATCTATTGAGGCAGAAAGATATACTACTTATTTTGATCAATATCGAATCTGTGCTCATAAGAAGATGTAAATTTAATAATTTGTAGCTTATAGTTTTGTCTTATAAAATATTTTATTTATTTACTATAATACTTTATAATATTGTATATTTTCATTGTCATTTATTCATCAACTTTTATAATTCTATTTCCAAATCTCAATGATTTTGAACTTTAATTGTATTGATGAACTTTATATTTGCATTATAAAAATTCAATATACATTATGAAGGAAAACTCGTTGTAAAGAAATAAAAAATTATTTTAGCTCAAATTAAGACAATTTTAAATTGATACAAAGAAAGCTTGATTGAGCATATTCTATGAAATTGAAAACTTACTAATCAAATCAAAAGAATAATGAAAAGATTTTATGCTGATATAAGAAACATATAATTCATTTCAATTTTGAACTGCTCAATAATGTTGAAATCTTCAAGCATCTTATTCTTAATTATTATTCATCACATTTCTGTTCTTGACAAATGTCAAATTTCATGGATTAACAATTTTTTTCAAAGAGCTACCGCAGTATATCAATATTATTCATTAGATATTAGAATCTTCTCTTCCAGTGTACTTTCTATTTTCTTTTCTACTGTGCATATGGTAATTTTACCTCGATGTTATTAATTTTGTTCAAACACCATTGTCACGGGATATTTTTAAGAGGTAAACCAATCAAATCGTAAGATATGAAATATTAATAACATTTCGGTTAGAATTAAGGTTAAGATAAAGTTGGAGTTAAGATTATATCGCATGTATGGTATATAATAAAATTTCGCCAGAAAAGTTCATAGGCAAATTTCATTTTTTAGTTGTTGGTTTACCCTAAAAAAATATCCCGTGACAACAGACACGGGAAAATCCCGTTGTGTTTTGAAAAATTCCGTTTTATTCTAAAATTGAATTTTATTAACGTTAATAATAATACATAATCATAAGGCGAGATTCTTGACTAAGTTTTATAAGCAGTAAAACTACATTCTACACCATATGATGAGATTAATAATTACAGTCAAACCTGTCTAAATGAATACATTATTTGGAAACAGGTGGTTCCTATAAATAATTACATAAACTGTTTTACTGAATGATGCATAAAATTTTACCCAGTTATTCATTTACAAAGTAGTCATGTGATAATGAATTCATTTTAATTACATTGTCAAAGTATCACATGCAAACTATTGTCTACAATAGAAATTAAAATATAATAATAAATAGCGAAACAATTGAAAAAGACAGAAAAAAAGAAGAAAAATAATATTTGTGAGAGAACTCCTCAAAGAATAAGAAACAAATCTTGGGGGTAGAATGTGAAATATTATTTTGAATAGAATTTGCGAAAGATTTAAAAATATAATATGCGAATAGAATTTCAAAGTACAGAAATGGATGCAACGCAAACAATCCCTCTGAATTTAGCTAATTAACAGTTTTTATTCAAATTCAATAGCAATATTATTATATATGATCCAACCATCCCGCCAATCTAAATATTTTATAGCATGTGAATGAATAATCCGTGTAAGTGAATATAATATCTGTTGACTGATTAGACAGGTTTAATTGTAAATATATTTGAAATTTATTTCAATATTTGTTAGAAAATTTGTTTCAAAAATCAATTCTATTGCAATAAATTGTCTATTTTTATTAAAAGTATTATAGATATATTATTATATACAATTTATAAAAGAGAATAAGATTAATAATTTTTTCATTCAAGTTTTTATTTATTATATATAAATAATCAGATCTGCCAGTGTCAATAAGGATATATTTTTTCTGCCATCTTTACTTAATATAAATAATAATGAAAGTATTAATGTTTTGTTATTATATTATCTTGCTAGCACTATAATCTTTCTCAAGAACAATAAGAATTTCTGTTTTTTCTTTTGATATAGTATGATATTTATTTTTTTGTATATATTTCAAGAAGCTATTTTATTATAAAAAAAATAAATTAACAAAAATAATCTATTTATATTAGTCTTAAATATGTAATACTAACTAATACAAAAAATATTAAAAATAATGCAATGCATATTTCATAAAACTCATCTATATATTTTGTAATTGATAGCTAAAAAAATAAAAAAAATAAACCAAATTTAATTTAAGTTTTATTAGTTATTTTTGAAAATAATTAAATTTAAAATTTTTATTTATATGTTACATTATTTATAATTATTACTATAAATACTTAATAACTATTAAAATTCAAAAATACTTTTATAAAACTGAAAATATGAATATTTCTTTATTTATTATTTATTATGAGTTGGTGCAAAAAGATTTGTATCTCAGATAAATATTAATAAATTATTTTTTCAAAATAAAATTTTAATTCTGTCTTA